TAAAATTAAGATTCGTTGCAGATCTTCGCAGCAGTTGGGAATCACTTTTAATTGCGTTACAGCCGAGCAAACAAGCAGGAGGGACTCCAGCACGCTCGAAGAAGCGTCCCTCCCGCGAGGGTTTGCACGGAGCACCCTGCGAGGGGCAACGCAGCGTGTTGGAAAGGGCTCGGAAACCTCAGGAAGGGCTGCACCGGTCACACCAACGGCTCTGCAACCCAGCATCCGGCCAAGCAAACGCTCGCGTGTCCTGGGGCTGCGTTCAAGAGCCGAGGGTGGGCTCATTTCTTTCCTCTGCTCTGCTGAGCGTCAGCTCGGGGCCGTTCAGCCCTGGGAGACGCAGTGGCAGGAGGCAGATCGAGCGTTGAGCCTTCTCCGGAGAAACAGCGCAGCGCACCGCGCGGCGCTCGCCAGCAGCCCAGCAAGGCAGAGCCGTCCCCCCCCGGAAGGAGGTTTGCCAGCAGCGCAGCCCCCCGCGCGCGCACGCGTGTGGGCGCGAGGGGAAAGAGGGGACGTGCTCTTCGGGAGCGCTAGCTAAGTCAGGAAACAAAACCCAGTCCTAGCAAGGATGGTTTTAGCACGGGGACCCAGATAAGGAAGCGATGCAGCACAAAAGGAAACAGCCAGAGGCGCTTCGGGGCCAGGCCCCCCCAGCACCCGCGAGCAGGCAGGATACCGGCGGCACCGCTCCCACCCCAGCTGCGTCCTCCTGCCGGGGCTCTTCGCAGCTCTGCGTGACGTGCAGAGAGCTCAGGCTGCAGGACAGAAAGCAGAAAAGAGCCAACGTCTGTTTGTGTTGCAGCTAAGCAGCCTTTTCTGCCGACATCAGCCAAGAGGCAGCAGCAATGCCATTGGTGGGAAGAGAGAGTTATTTGGGGAATGCCGGACTCCGCACCATGCGAACAGCAGGGGAGGAGGTCGGTTTTAATTTAACAGGCCGTGTTTACTCTTCCCCTCTCACCTTTGGACCGCCTGAAATCTGCAGCGTAAGCTCCGGCGAGGCGGAA